GTTCGAATCCGGGTCACGGCAGCATTTTAATGGGGAGACAGACGCCCACAAACACAGATCCTGTATGAATATAATACATATATATAGTAATACAACAGAGTATCTTTAAAAATACTACCCTAACCACTAGATGTTGATATCACCCCTAGCAACCCTATCATATCTCTTTATATCATTAAAAGATTGACTTTATTGCTTTAGCAATTAGACAACATCATATCAGGCTACTGAGCCTTTTATCATAACTTAAAACATTATACTTTTGCTGCAAAACTCTTAATATCTCCAGGTAATATCTAAGAAATATAATTACTTTATAATAGCCGTTTATCTTCGCTAAATAAGGGTTTTATTCAAATCCAGTTTATGGTCTAAACCCCCATAGTTCATATCTTTAAAAGCCTCGCGATACTACATCCTAAATCCCGTCCAAGAAAACAACCAGGAAGCGAATGGCGGAAATATAGATCCACCTCACGCTTTCAGCTTGTAATTCTCTTTTTGGGGTTGTCCAGACCGGGTTGCTTCCTGAATGGAGAGGCCGACCGAGTAGGACAGCAGATGCCTTCAACTAAAAACGGTGGACGGTTTTGAAGACACGATGTCGTCGCGTCTATCTAGCTGGCGGCTTCGGTAACGTGAACGGACGGATAGCTGAGAGTCCTGTCACTGACAGCCTGCCAGGTTTAACTCAGGTAGTGTTCAACGTCTGAATGGTACTTTTATTATATGCATACATACACATATACAGCATTTACATCTGGCAGCACTGGCGAGTCCAGTTAGGTGAAGACAGCTGATTTAAAGAATTGATCGTGACTAGAAAAATCACAGAGAAGCAGCCATATGGACAAGTTGACAGCAAGTGTGTCAGAGTTTAAGTAAGTTAAAGGGCTTCAGATTGCTTCTAGCTGACCTACAATCAGTCAAATGCTGATGAATTACTACCAGCAGCAAATAGCTGGTGGTTATTTACTGTAATCTCAGGAAAATAGACAAACCTGTTGTCTGACAGCTTTACCAGTAACTGACTGAATGTGGTCACAATAAGTCTGTTTCTTTGAAATAAAAGCTTCATCACCCGCCAGCTAATGTTAAGTCTAGATGTGAGGCCCTGCTGCTCTTCATCTTTCATATCAACTGTCTGTTTAGTTTAACTCACAAAACTGGACGAGCAAGCTCTTCCAAATGTTCTTGACCAGCCGTACCCTTCACTTATTGACAAAGGAGTTGTTGCTTTGACACTCAAAGGAGAGAAGACTTGTTTTCGTAAACGAAAGCATTGCTGTCAAACAAACGAGAAATGCTGCATGGCGAAAGGTATGTGGACCGGTGCCCTTTCCTGTTTGACAGTGCCCCCATGCATGAAGCCAGCTCTCTAAGTAAATGTTTTTTTTGGAGTGGAAGAACATGAGAGAACTGACCTCAAGTCCATCAACAACTTTGGACTGATTTATTGAACACTAACTGCAAGCCAGGCCTTATCGTCCAACATTAGTGCTCAGGCTCTAAGGCTTTTGTGACTGACTTACAGTATCAAATTGATGCCCATGGTTTTTGAATGAGATCTATAACTGTCAAATATAAACAAAATATACAATCAGCATTGATTTGGACTGTTATTAGTCCTCCTCTGGGATAATCAGGACACTGTACACTGACCTTTTTTACCCTATGGCTCCTCATTTGCAGACATATGGCCCGGATCCTCAGCTAGCCAAGGGAGAGAGAGAGAGAGACAAGAGAGACGAGACGAGGAGAGAGACGAGAGAGAGAGAGAGAGACGAGAGAGACGACGTGACACAGACGACGCTAGCAATCGATGTTTCTGAAAACCTCGTTCACCACGCTGATCGTGGGGGTGTTTGTGGTGTACGTGCTCCACACCTGCTGGGTGATGTACGGGATAGTGTACACTAAACCCTGCGACCACCCCAAAGGTGACAACTGTATCACGCCCTTCCTGGCTGGAAACCCGAAATTACAGGTCGGTAATGTGGAGGGGATCGCTGTTCGGTTTGTTTTCTGTTCAACTGTCTGTCTAGTATAATGTACATATGTAATAATGTTTGTAATATCTCTCTGTGTGCATCCAGTTGAGTATCTACACTGCACTGCGGCCCAATGCAGAGGGCGGACATACCCTGATCCACAAAGAGGACGAATTTGATGTCGACGGCAAGTTTGAGAGGTCGGTTGGACTCTCACTTTTGAGTCTCTTTTTAGATTTTACACTTTATCCACATTAATTATAATGAGCCTTGGAAATGAATTGTCTCCTCAGATTTGATTGGACACGTCAGTTTCAAAGCTGTTAACGAGCTGATGGACACTGTACTTTAATGAACCCCAATGCATTAATGCATTATTCAGATGAATGGATATCAATCTAGCTAAGAACTAAAACAGATGTTGAATGTGCTTCCGTTTAGTCATAGTTTAATTATAACAAGGACTTTTTAATGAAGAACTACAGAGGTTTAAAACAATTAGCATTTTGATTGTTTAACACAACACTTATTAAAGGAATTTCCAAGGAAACCAGTGCCAGCCATTTTCTGATCTACAGTATATCCATAGCAAAAACACATTTCTTTCTTTCATCCACTTCCCTCTTTCTCTCCTTTCCCCTCCAGGATAGTGAATGTCTCCCTCCCTAAGAAGACCCGTAACAATGGAACATTATATGCACTAATATTTGTCCATCAAGCCGGCGTCACTCCGTGGCAGGATCAACGACAGGTCCACTTGGTGGCTCAGCTCACCACCTACATGGTTCCTAAACCGCCTGAGATCTCTTTGATATCCGGAGAGGATCAAACAAAGGTACTGAGTTGTTCCAAAGCTCCGGCTGAAAGTGAAAGTTGATGATGTTATCTGAATAAAGATGTGGGTGTGTAAGGGCATGGGGAGACACTTAAGCTACTTTAATGTATTAAACAGCTCACATGGAAAAAAACTGCTTAAAATGCTTTTACTTTGTAATTTGAGATAATTTTTATTATCTATCATCTATCATATTTATTCATTTTTTCTTGTATATGAAGGACTTTGAGAATTTTTTCTGTATGATGTATAAATAGTTTTTTATTATTTGTTATTTTGTTTTTATTTTTAATATTATTATTAATATATGTAACTTCCCAGTTAGCTTAACTGCAAGATGTGTTGTCTTATTAATGTACTGTAGATCCAGAAGAGTTTAGTTATTGATCAGGGGCATTTCATTTGAAAGTAAAGTTTCTGTCTATGTGATTTCCCAGGGTCAGAAAGAAGAAGCCCAGAAGAAGAAACAGGGAGATGGCAACCCCGCGGCAGGGGGTGGAGCTGGAGGTGGACCCACCTCTTCGTCAGTTCACCCAGCTTCCCATTGGCGCTCCCGCCTGACACTGAACATTGTCAGCGACCACTTCATGTTTGACAGAGAATACCTTCCTAGTGATGTCCACAGATACCTCAGAGTGTAAGATAATAGATGCAGAAACACACACAACACTCTGTGTGGGTATGGTTTGGATACTTGTATGTCTATTTGTAGATAATGTGATACCGATCTTTGTCATAAAATTATTAACAAGGCTTTTAATTAGGCTCCAGTGGCATCATGGGATGTTTTGTTTTTCTGTGTTTCAGATTCCAAAATGGTAAGAAAATGGTTTATCTACCTCTGCTGTTTGTTGATGAGCTCAGCAACCGGGTCAAGGACCTTGTGGTAAGCTTTTATAAATATTATATAATACACTGTAATTAACTATCAGCAGATTTTAAAATGCGCTGTTTTTCTGTTATTCATTTTCTTACTGAACTTGTTTAGAGGAAAATGCAGACACACCACAGCCAATAATTAATTGAAAAAAAAATAAATAAAAAGCTGTGAATTACAAACAAAAAACAAAAAGTAAGGTAGAAGATAATAGTTTACAGATGTTTGGAGGTCATTACACATCCAAAAATAATGATTTTAAAATAATGTTGCTCTGTCATCCATTTCACATATAGGCTTCAAAGAGTTTGAGAACAGAACATCAATATGTAAGAAGCTGATTGTGTGAAATAATCTGTGTGTGTGTGTTTGTAGGAGATCAACAGTACCTCCATGGAGCTCCCTCTGACCATCTCCTACGATTCTATCTCTCTGGGAAGGCTAAGATTCTGGATCCACATGCAAGACGCTGTTTTCTCTCTGCAGCAGTTTGGTATGTTAAACACACACACACACAATGTCTACAAGCGTCAATCTAATACCATGTATATTTCTTTGTATGTGATGCAGGTTTCACAGAAAAGGATGCTGATGAGATTAAAGGAATCTTTGTGGATACTAACCTGTACTTCCTGGCTCTCACCTTCTTTGTGGCTGCCTTCCATGTAAGTCGTGATTATGAATCTATAGTGCACCTGTGTGAAACACAACTTTTCAATCAGCAATCAGTCCTTATCCATCCATAAAAGATACCACGTCTGTGTTGCTATTTGCAAGTATTGATCAAAGAGGCCAAGGTACAATGAAATTTTAGTATTTCTGAGATTGGGTAAAAAAATCTATCGTTTTTTGGGTGAAGAAAGAATGCATCACAAAAGCTGTACTATAATGACTATAAACTATAAAAAAAATCTGTCTAGTCTACATGCTTACTGCAGGGTGTCTTACGGTTCATGGGCACAAAAAACATGCACATAAGTATGAAATGAATGAAGCAAACTTTCTCAAAAGGGCATCTCAGAAAATTGCAAAAAGTTCAGATGAATCAGGGCTTGGGTTTTCTTGAGGTTGAACTTTCCAACAAGCACATAAATTCAGCATGACCAGGCTAAACGATGGGTTCCTATAATCCATAAATTCTAGGACCACCAAATACCGATATAATCTTCAAAACAATCAGTCTACGTACTGCATGCTTTAGCTAATGTGTTTGTAGAAAAAACAAACTTATACCCACTCACCACTTTTATTTTTAACATAATTATAAAGAAAATAATCTAAGTGTTAACACCTCAGAAATAAAGGAAAGAGTAAGGAGCTCTGAGGTGTGCTGATTACGAACTGTTAACAATGAACTGTAGCTAGACAAAAATATTATGTCCTGTCTCTTGCTTTTTTAGCTGCTCTTTGACTTCCTGGCGTTCAAGAACGACATCAGCTTCTGGAAACAGAAGAAAAGCATGGTGGGAATGTCCAGCAAAGCAGGTTGGTAACTTTGTTCTCACCGACCTGCTAAAACGCCATTCGAACAGTGAAAAAAACAATATTGGACAGGAAACAAATGCACAACAGAGGACAAAGTCTGGAGATTTAGCTGCACATTATACATTTGTTGTGACTGATTTTAACAGAGCGTTAGAGTACAGTATGTAAAGTAACTCTAACTAGTCCCTTAGAAGACCACAGGTCCACAGACATCAGCTGTATAATGAGTATAATCTCACTCTGTGAGTTTGGACTGCTGGGTAGCCAGATGTTGAATTCTGCTTCCTGTTGCTCAGCAACAGAAATGGCGACAGAGTAAGGGATGCTCTTGTGTGCTGGCTGTCATCTAATGGCAAGAAGTAGCCATCTGCAAAATGCTGTTGAGCAATATGTCGCCCACAGAAGTATAAGCAAAAAGTGTGATTCTGAATGGTTTTCTAATTGTTTGGCTAGACCTTTCTCCTGCACTGGAACTATGTATATCCACAAGTCTGGCACTATGAGACAACTTATGAATTTTTACACTAGATAATACAATAACATTCGAGTGGACAGAAAATTAGTATAACCCTGAAAATGCAATCATGGAAAATACATCACCAGCTGTCACAGAATAACATTTTATGTATTTGTGTTTTTTGTTTTCCAGTGCTCTGGCGATGTTTCAGCACCATTGTGATTTTCCTCTATTTGTTTGACGAGCAGACCAGCCTGCTTGTCCTCATTCCTGCTGGAATCGGCTCGATCATTGAAGTAAGTCCGCACAGACTGGACACACAGACGCATTTAAAATACATGTAAATACACACCTGTATACATTCATAAGACGTGTACATGAATTACACTACATTACAGAAAACAGAAGCATATGTGATGTCTTTGAAAATCTTGCTTAAAATTTATGTATTAAATTAAATATTTAATAGATTCAACTCATACATTACATAAAATCATGTATTGTTACATTGAAATCTTTGATATAATTGTATTTTTTGTGGCTGTCATAAATAATAGAATAATAAAAATATTATTAGTATTAGTATTTTGCTCTCAGGTTTCAGCTCAACACTTCCCTGTGTGCTGAGACGATGTCCCACCAGTGACAGTGTCTGACACCTGAAAATGATTTGTCAAATATAGCAACATACTGTTAGCTCCAAGCCTCAAATTAATGGCAGTGACACACCCCTCTCCTTCCTCTCGAGCTTAGTATCGTTCTCATGATGTGTAGTGGAATTTATAGGAAATAAGTCTATGATTCTTGTTGATTAATGCATGATATTCTGCTTTTAAAATGTTTTTACTGCAGGTATGGAAAGTGAAGAAGGCCCTCAAGATTCAGGTTTTCTGGAAAGGAGGCAAACCAACATTCCTGGTAGGGGTGTGTGTGTGTGTGTGTAACTGGTTTATCTTTTGTCGTCTGTCATTTATTTTTACAGCTCAGTACAAATCAGATATTGCGTATCTAGGATTCTCTACACTATTTATCAGTGGTAAATGGATTGATATGTGGGCTGTCAGTACTACTCTCTCTAACTGCTGTAGACGGCATACTTTGAGTAGATTTTATTCATTCCCCCTGCCTGCTGCTCTAATAGAGCTCTCTTCTAAATTACTATGGGTTCAAACTGAAAGCACAGAGCACGTACTGGAGCTAGATAGTACTAGATAACATGATTGGCATTGTTTTAAATTTAATTGGTGTGTGTGTGTGTTTTTCTTTTCTTTGGAACAGTTTGGGCAATTAGATGAATCAGAGAGGAGAACAGAAGAGTACGATACACTGGTAAGGCACTATGGACTCACACATGCATAGATAATAAACCACACTTTCAACATAAGCATGAGTGAAACATCAATTTGTGCAAACAGGTAATCATTATTACATTATTATTGGAGATTTTCACTCAAGCTAAAAACTAAATACTGTATTATTTAAAGGACCTGTTCAGCCAAAACACACATAACAACAATCTTTAGAGATATTATTTTATAAATAATCATAACATTTTTCATGTGTGAATTAGAATCGGGTAAATCTTTTTTGTTACTGGACAGTAGAGCTTATGTTGTCATTGGATGTAACCAAATTCTGTGCATTGTGTTTCTCTGTAGGCCATGAAGTACCTCTCATTCCTCCTTTACCCATTGTGTATCGGAGGGGCTGTGTACGCTCTAATATTCCTGCGATATAAGAGGTAGGGGTCTCTATGTGTGTGTGCATACATAACATGCAACATTTTTATTACAGGATTTCCTTATCACGTGATGTCATCGGTTACATGATTATCTCCCTTTGTTTCTTTGTCCCTGTTTTAGTTGGTACTCGTGGTTGATCAACAGTTTGGTTAATGGTAAGCTTTTTTTTTTTTAAATGCTATATATAAAACGTACTTTGCCATTTCATTATTAACTATATTAAAATTGCTAATTGATCACCTCCTTTTGCCATTGATATCCATTATTTGATCGAAAAAGAAAAGGCTTTTCAACATGTTCTTTACCATTTTAGGTGTATATGCCTTTGGCTTCCTCTTCATGCTTCCTCAACTGTTTGTCAACTATAAGGTCAGTTCATCATGGTCAATGTGGGTGTGTGAGCCTGGTCTTACTTTTTCTAAAATGTAAAATGTGATAATGGATAAAATACATTTACCATATCAGAATTAATTTCTCTAAGGGAAGAAAATCTCCATAGAGCTACTGGAGGTCAAAAACTCCACAGGGAACCTGTAACTGTTCCAGATCTTCTAGAAGTGTGCTCACTAAAACATGAAATTGTACAGATATTGCCTAAAAGTGGTCAAGCATAAATTGTATTTAATTTCATTTACTGAAGTTGTCTTTCAAAAATTGCATTGACTTATTATGTTTAATTCAACAGCTGAAATCTGTGGCCCACCTGCCCTGGAAAGCCTTTATGTACAAGGTGAGAACACAACTCCAGCTACTGAATTATATGATATAACTGCTGTTATTTGTTGTATATGTTAAATAAATGATTTAATTGAAGTCACTGACACTGAAAATGTTTTAGTGATAAATAATTAAAAAATGATTAATTGATTGATTGTTTGTTACCAGGCATTCAATACCTTTATCGACGATGTGTTTGCCTTCATCATCACGATGCCAACGTCCCACAGACTGGCCTGTTTCAGAGATGATGTGGTGTTTCTCATTTACCTTTACCAGAGATGGTACACACACACACACACACACACACATTACTAAGTCACCAACAAAATATACCCAACAGTTTCCTAACCTGAAACTCTCTCTCCCCTTCCACAGGCTCTACCCAGTGGACAAAACAAGAGTAAATGAATATGGAGTTTCTTATGACGAAGAACCCAAAGGAAAGTCCCACAAGGACTAGAGAGGAAGGACGGGTTATTGGCTTCCATGATCTTGTATCTGCGGGTTTAGTCTGCGGTCCACTGGTATCCACTAATCTCATTTGGTATCAGCTGAGCTGGTTTAATGGTCCAGAGGCACCTGGAAAAATATTTTTCTGTTTCTGGTCAGTTAGTTGTAAATGGACCAGGCGCATCAACATCCTTGTGGTTTTTGACTTTTCCATCCCGTCCCATAGTGTAAAGTGTTAAAAGGTCAACATCTGCTAATCTGCCTTTTGCAGTCCGGAGAGGTTTTTTGTTTTGTTTTGTGGTATGTGACGGGAAAGGTTAGGCCAGTCAGATAAAACTCTTCCGTTTAAAACTGACGACCTGGAGCAAATGTGTTTCCGATTGGTGTGAATGGCCGGCACCCTGCTCCAGACTATGACTGTCTACCACAGGTACAGGCACTGCTCAGCTCTTGTATGAAAGAGTACACTGATGATGACTATAGTCATTCTTCTATAGCACATATTGGTGTTAACTTCAAGCCTTCTCAGCTATAAAATCCGCTCTTCCTTTTTTTTTTTTTTTTTCAATTTACGAAACCAGTCACATTCCATGTCTATTGGAACATCTCCGTCCTTTTCTTATCATTGAAGGGTTTTTTAACCTTTTTTACCTACCTGGTTTTCAGCTTTGGGTGTCTGCAAATACTGACTTGGTTGTGCTAAGCTGCAAGAGAAAATTATGATTTATTACATTGGGTTAGACTCCCATTTTTAGCTGAAGAACCACTGTAAATATTGCAATGTCCAAAATGGATTGTTCTGATTTGAAACATTTTGATGTTTACAAATTCCAATTAACTGACATAACAGTACATTTTGAGAACATGCTGGTTTAGACTGCTTTGAGGAACCCATATCTAAATATATATTTTTTCCATATTATTATTCCATAAGCGCCAAGCCTGATACATCAGAGCTTTACAAAAAATCTGAGTTTTCAAGTCATAGTTATAGCTTGGATTTTGAAATGAATTTACAAGTTGGAAACAAGTGGACATAATTACGGTAATTCTGCTATAACATGAAAGCTGCATTAGGCAAAGGTGGGCAGTACTGAGACGTGGACAAAAGGTGGATGTATTGTTAGTTCATTTAAATATTACTGATGCAAAATGCAAGTGCTTTTCTAGACATTCTATGAAATTATGTTAATAGTGTTCAAATGTTGCTCACTGAAAATGCTGTTGACAATTTGCCTCTTAAAAGGTATCATTGTGTAGACAAAGTTTTTATCCCAAATTCTAATGCTGACAAAGCTAATACATGTTAACCCTGAGACAAATTCCAAAATGACGGAGCCTGTTTTAAAGTGAGAACATATATATATATATATATAGGCCCCTTAAAAGCTAACAAAAAATGTGTCCGAAATTTCAAATCTGCATGTAACTTCCCCCTATGCACATATAGCTGTAATAGAAGCACAGTAGAGGATTCCAACTTGTTGTGATGAAGAGGATAGATTACCTGAACGTTCCAGAATTTTGAGCTGAAGTAGAAGCAGGTAGATCATTCTTATTTGTTGCCATGGAGATGGGGATAAACTGCCTGAACATTCTAGAATATTAAGCTTGAAGGTTCCAGAATTTGTAGAGTTGAACTGTCTCCTGCTCTGTCCACATGCTAAACGATTACTTTTATAACACTGTAACACAGAAGGGTGCCACTGAAAGCCATACTGTCCTTTCCATCCACTCTAGTTTTGTAGTTTTACCTGCTCAAGTATTTTTTTAAATATCAGGGCCAAGAAGATATGTTAGTGCCAAATGTGAGAATGATTCCTAAAACTGTTTCTGAGCTTTGTGTGTTCAAGATAAAGGATCCATCTGATGTTTCTAAGTAGACACTGACATTGTGGGTGAAACAGTAAATGGTAAGACTTGAGGAAAGTATTACTACATCTAGACTTTCAGTCACATTTTGTTTTTTCCATAGTTCTGATGTTATGTTGTTTTTTGTTTGTTTGTTTAAATAGAAAGACTACTTGGGATCACTACTCCATTTTCAAATATCAAGACATATTAGGTCTGTGTACAGCACAGGCTTTCTGTTCCTGTGTAAATGCAACCAGGAGATTTGCCAGAATATTTGCCTTGAAATGGTTTTACTTATTGTAATCTTTGTGTTTTTGATTGAGATGAAATAAAATTGACTGACTGAACATATTATTTGCAGTGGATTTAAAACCTTCGGACATTTTTCTGTACATATTGTGTATATATTCCTCAGAGTTTAAGTGATAGTAGCATGCATATAGACATACACAGTGTCAAATTTCTAAACATACTGTACCTCATTCTAGAGCTTTGATCAAGTGCATCAAATTATGTGCATATTCAGATATTCTTCGGTACGTACTAACTAGTATTCAACTTAAAACTCATTGTGAATGATGTAAACTTGCATATAAATAAAAGATATAGAAAATATTTAAAGACAATAATGTAAAGATGACTACAAAATGCAGGGTTTGCATGAATAGGCTTTTGTTTTGTGCAATTGTATTCAATTAAGCAGGATAATCTATTCATGTTCAAACTTATTGAAAGAGAAACTAGTAGGAGCTTTGCACATTGTCAAGCGACCCTACTTCAAATCCGTTGACGTCTGTCGTCACTTTGTGTGCGTATCGACGTCAGAGTCACGCAGCCCTCACGTAGAGTATATCTTGCAAGCTCCCGCCCTCCCCCTTCCCTTTTCCGCTGTAGTAAGTAAACGTGCCTAAGGTGCTCGGTTCTTCACCCGAAGCTAAGGCCCTCAATCCGGCGACTAGCACCGTCAAATTTAGGCATCCAACGCTACAAATATAAAATCTAACATCTACAATGGCCTCCGTGTCCGAGCTCGCCTGCATTTACTCTGCTCTCATCCTCCACGACGATGAAGTCACCGTCACCGTAAGTGCACCGGCTCATACGGCACCGCTCAGCCGGTACCTCTCAGCTGGACCCTCGGCAGTATAGTGCGGCTGATAAAAGCCTTAAATAATAAAGCTGCGGTTAGTAGGGGCTCTTATCGACCAACTGGGGTGATAATATGTCTTGTTAAAATACGTTCAGGCAGAAATAAGTGTCCAATCTTATGGTTAAAAATGGCGGCATGCTTGTCGCTAGCTAACGTTAAGGCCTCGTTTCTGTATCAGGACAACAAGAAGAGTTTTATCTGCAGCATGTGGCTGTAGTTGTTGAACAACATGACTTTTAAACATCTGAACTTCTCAGTTGAAGTTCTGGAGAAGTCAGTCCCTCAGTGACAGGCGGTGGCTAATGCTAAGCTAGTCTCCACTAACAGCCCGCCATGCGTTTTACTGAGAGGAGGTATCGGAGAGAAAAGCGGGGTAGTTATCGGTTAATTACCACCTTGTAGTGTACGGCTGCTTGGTTTCATTCATAAAGATGCTCCAGGTAGCTGTCTGACAGCTGTGACACACGTGGATGCTGCACAGCCTCAATATGAGCTAAAGAATACACATGCTTTAGTTTTTAAGGTTTCTAAATGTTGTTTATACTTTCCATGGCTAAAACTTTGTATTTGTTACTAACATGTTGTTGGTGCGAACGTCTTGATTGAAAGTAGTCACGATAAAGCAAAAACAATACGATTTCTGAAGGATTCCAGTCACTATTTATTATTAGTGAGTGTTTTTTTAGGTTTTACAGGATGTGTATAAAAAGATGTGCAAACCTGTAAACATCAGGATATAAGTGTGAGATAATGTAATAAGCGTAGTATGATAGTAATAAACACCCAAAGTAATTTTATTTGTTTATGATTTAAATGATTGATTAGGCCTCCCTCTCCTTAAACAAGCACGAATCCCATATGAGATAATGTGGAATTACAAAGCTGTGAAACTTTAACAAGACTTTGCTGCTAACTTGTGATAGTTTTATTTTGTGCACTGATAATTTGCTTCACGTCGATACAAGTTATTTAAGGATGAATGACGTGAACAATGTGTAACAATTCCAATGTTTTTGTGTCTGTAGGAGGATAAGCTGAATGCTCTGATCAAGGCTGCCGGCGTCACCGTGGAGCCCTTCTGGCCAAGTCTGTTTGCCAAGGTGAGAGAGCGACACACACGACTTAAAGTTAAATTTCCCTGGGGATAAATAAAGTATCTATCTTCTGTGGTGCCATGACAACGTGGAGACGGTCTTGCTAAGATGTGGGGTTTGAACCATCAGGAAGGAGTGGCGTCTGTTTCCTAAGCTGTCCAGTGCCATCCACAGCAGCTCTGAAATGAGAGTACCTCGGACTCTGTAGCTTCCTTTTGTAGTCGCATACAGCTACAGTTATGTTGGTCTTCATGTCTGAGATAATTAGTGTGAAGTAAACAAACACAAGAGTTAGATTTCACAATGAAAATGTTGAAAAAACATTCTGAACCAAGAGTTTGCAATGGGTTTGTGTAGAGGTTGTGACTTATTTAAGGTTTCTATGTATTTCAGGTGTGTACAAGGGTGTGTTCAAGTTGTCAACACAAACCATAATAGAAGCGCTTCCTCTGCATGAGATCAATAGTGTTATATCTTTAGTGATGTAAGTACAGGTCCTGGACATGTGAATAAAGTGATGTTGACCTGTGAATGTTATTTTCGTAGGCTCTTACCAGCGTTGACATCGGCAGCCTGATCTGCAACGTTGGCGCCGGAGGTGGAGCACCAGCTGGAGCCCCTGCCGCTGCCGCCGCCGCTGCTGGAGACGCCCCAGGTAACAGGACAGATTGGCATTATAAGTCAAATGCTAGACACTTTTTAAATGGTGTTTGTGCTACTGCAACACTAAACTAGGATATACTTAACCCTTTAGGCGCCAGG